CCTCCAGTCTCTGAGGGTTAAGTGGATATAACCCTCAAGAGACTTTTAATTTTTTAGATACATAAAATAGACCTATTTTATTTATTTGTTGACACATTTAACTATATTAATCATTCTAATATTTGACTTAATTGTGAGATATATGTATGAAATAATTTGTTTCAATCAGAGATAAAATGTACGAATTCTACTAGTACTCATTGTTATGGTTACATAATGTAGTGTTGGATGGTATGAAAGGAAAGTGCTTAATCTAATATAGGACATTTGGAAAGGTTACCATAGGTGTCTGTGGTAGTTTTACTGAGGACTATTCCCCATAGGGTCATATACTTACACATTTGGTCCCCAGTTGTTGGAGTCATTTGTGGAAGGTGTAGAACTTTGAGAAGTTGGAACCTTGCTAGAGGAAATAAATCACTGGAGGCTGTCTCTAAGAGTTTATAACCTCCCATGGATATCAACCTGTCTTGGCACATCAAGTTACAGTAGGACTAGGCACATAACATCTTCTCCTACTGATCCTAGACAAGGCAGCCCAGTTAGGGGGAAGGGGTTCAAAGGAATGCAACAGGGTCAGAGACAGCCTCTCTTCCAGTTGTTAGCAGTACCACATGAAGGCCAGCTGCACATCTGTTACATATCTGTAGGGGGTATAGGTCCATCACATGTGTGCTCTTTGGTTGATGGTTCAGCTCAATTTCACTTATGAATATTGAAGCAAAAATACTCAAATTGTAGCAAAGAAGGATGTTTTAAATAGCAAACATTTGACGTGTCAAAGAAATGCCTATGATTAAAGGGGGAGAAATGTTTTTAAATCATTAAGCAACAGAAATAGAAAAGCAATATATGCCTGAGGAAAGGAAGGTGAAAACACACAGTGTTTTATAGATGACTGGTGATAAAACAACAATGTCAATCAACAGGTGAGTATACCCTAATTATTTTACTAACTGTACTACAGTGGAGACCACTACCTAGACTGTCACATGCAGTTCTGCTTCACTTTGTTTTCAACTCACTTTTCAAGCATGCTTCTTAGTTATATACAACTCATATACCAGAATGTAACTTTCATCAAATTCACTGACTATTTTTTTGAGTCTATTGGTTTATGAAATATAGAAGCATTCAGCAAATATCCATTGAACTAATGATTCTACACAGGAAAAAATTCCAGCTGTTGTCTGCAGATGAATCACTCACATGGATATTTATAAATAACACCTAGCACATTCATCAATACTTATAATGAGCTTGCTTAAAAATAAGACAGGTTCAATTAAGAGAGAGCATTGCTTTATTTAATTAAAATTACCAATAAAACCAAGGTTAAGAATAGTTGAAACTTTGTTTAATTTCATGTTTAGGTAATTGCATATCTTATTAAATATTTTGTGTTGATTAAAAGATCTGAAAACAATCATTTTAAAGGAGTTAGCTCAACAAAGCAAGCACATTGTATGTTAGTGTGAGTATATCAAAGTATGGATTTGTTCAGCTTGTGCACACTGTAATAATGATGACAAATGTAACTACCCATATACATACAGAGGTGTAGAGTATTTGATGAAGCCCTCCTTACTCTCAATTGAAAGCTACTTGCAGGTTGGCCGGCCTTGAAAAAGTGTTACCCACGTACTGGGGATTAGAAACTGATTTAGAGTCTTTGCTACCAGTTAGTTGGGGACATTGGCTACACAATAAGCAGGATAGTGATAATATGAAACAGGGATTATTAGGAGTTGGCGTTTAATGTTTGGGGAAGGTGACAAAGAGCGCAAACAGCACCCCCCCAACAGAATATGTAAAGGCCAATTTTAAAATAAAACTGTGTAGGTGAAATCTGTTTCACTCTATCTAATACTTTGGCAGTTGGTACACTTGTAGGTACCCTATCTCCAGACACACAGCTCCCAAAGCCATGATGTTCCACTTTTAATTTTCAAATCATTTAACATCGATGCATCTGTTTTCAGTTTTTGGTAATCTAATAATTAAGCAAAGAAAGTTAGCACACTGTGACTTTTTCAGATTTAATGGCACCCAATCTATTGACCTACATAGATACTATGAATCAAATGGAGCTTCTCTGATTGAATTCTTAAGTGATTATTAAAACACGAAATTCATGTGGGTATAAAGTATATATGTACAACAGTGCAATGATTAGATAAGGGTTGGTTAGCACTTCCATCTTCTTAGGCATTAATAACTTTTATGTTTTGAGAACATCTGTGCTCCTATTTTCTACTCCTTCCTTATATCTATCTACCCTACAGTGACATGAGAAACAAGAGCCAGTGCTCTCTCTACTTCGTGGCCTTCATCTTTCTGTTTTCTCATCCTCGCGCCCCTTGACCATCATCATTGCCAGTGAATTCTATTTCACTTGGGTCTTCTGTGACACAACTTTCTGGTTGAGTGAAATTATGATAATTTTCTTTTTGTGCTTATCTTACTATGCTTAAGAGAGTGACATGAAATTCTATCCTATGTTGAGTCTTCTGGGATATCTTACTTTTAATTTTTAATTAGTCATTTCATTTATTTACATCTCAAATGATATCCCCCTTCCCGGTTACCCCTTCATAACCTCCCCATCCCATCTGCCTTCCCCACTCCCCTTTGCCTCTATGAGGGTGCTCCCCACCCACCCCACCACTCCAGCATTTGCCTATGCTGGGGTATCAAAGTTCCACAGGACCAAGGGCCTTCCCTCCCATTGATGTCAGACAAATCCATCCTCTACTACATATGTACCTGAAGCCATGGATTCCCTCCACATCCACTCCTTGGTTGTTAGTCTAGTCTCTGGTAGCTCTGTGTGGTCCGACTAGCCAACATTGTTCTTCCTATGGGGTTGCAATTCCCCTATGCTCCTCAAGTCCTTCCTCCAGCTTTGCTCTCAGGAGTCCCTGAGCTCAGTCTGATGGTTGGCTGTGAGCGTCTGCATCTGCATTGGTCAGGTGCTGGCCGAACCTCCCAGGGAACAGCCACACCAGGCTCTTGTTAGCAAGCTCCTCTTGGCAACAACCTCATAGAGATATATTTGGAAAATGATTTCATATCCTTTAAATTCCCATCAGGGCATTTCTAGATCATATGGTAGTTTTGATTTTACTTCTAAAAGGAATGTGTATACTATTTTCCCTAGTATCTGCACCAAATTATATCTTGGTCAACTCTGTAGAAGCATTCCCTCTGGGTACACCATTGACAGGATATAATATTCTATTGACTTTTTCACTCTCTACAACTGTTTTGTAATCTCAGAATAACTTTATGTGATATTTTAAAAGGTAATCTATGTAAATAGAAAAAAGTCAGAGGACTATAAGATACTGGTCAAATAGCACTTGTATTTTTAAAACTTTTGCAAAGTTAATGCTCTGGCTTCTCTGAAGACATAAGAATCTATGAAACTCTTTTTGAGTCCAGGATGAGTCCCACCAACACTAGGACTGTCTTTACTGTTATGAGGAGGAAGTTGTAGGCTATGAATGGAGCAGATAGTCCATGAGGCTAAACTGTCCAGGCTAAACCTACAGCATACACGAAGCTGAGGAAGGCATTCTTAGGCTGGGTCTTGTAAGGTCCTCAATTACTAAACTATAGCAGTTACCTCCCAGAAAATATTTACCTGGATCATGACAAATGTTTACATGAGTCCTTTTGAACATCATCTTAAATTAGATAAAGCAAAAATTACTTTAATAGAAGTATAATAATACAAAATAGTTCACACAATGACTAAGTACACTGAATTCCCCAATGGCATAGAATCACTAATACGCACATACATATTTAACCAAATTCACTTTGCTCTCAATTTCTTGTTAATAAAGCACAGCTTTGTACTCCTCGTGGCACTCACCTGCTCTGAGCTACAGCATGGACTTACATGAGCATTTTTATAGACCTATATTATGTTCTTATTGTGTGTTTATCAAGTATATGTAAAACTTTTGAACTATATCCAAGAGCAGAAACACTTAAATATATCAGTTATGAACTACCTTTAAAGATGACAGCATGATTCCACATGTCCCTGAACACAACTTTCTTCTTGATTTACACGTTAACATTCACACACACACACACACACACACACACACACACACACACTGCACACACATACACAGAGAGAGAGACAGAGACAGACAGAGACAGACAAGGAGACAGAGACACACACAGAGAAAGAAAAAGAGAGGGGGGGGAGGGAGGTTGCATTAAGTACCTTTAAGTTTATAGTTATAGAGTGAAGAAGAGTTTGGTGCAAATACCTATTTGGAACTAGCATATTTTTGTCTACACAGTGTTTAGTGGTATCTATCCAGTAGACTGTCTATATAGGAAACATGACAGTATAGAATTTCCATTTATTTCTATTTGTAGTTATTAAACAACGTTGATATGATCTACACATTGCACAATGTGATTCTCAGCTGAGTTTAGAATGCATAGTATTAAGACACACATCATGGTTGATAGTCATCTTGTAAATGTAGCATTTCAAGAGTTATGATTCAGTGCAAAACTTCTTGGCAAAAATCTAGTTGGTTTAGGAAAAATGTCTTCAACTATAGAAAGTCAAAAGAAGGATGGAGTTACAGGACAAAAGCATCCTCATGTGATACCATTTGAGTATTTGAAGCTAAGGATTTTATTGTAGAGTTTGAAACTCAGGAATACAAGCATACATGGTTACTATAAACAGCTCAGTATTTTATTTTATTAGAGGCAAAACGTTTTTCTAGGCATCCAAATAAAGCAGTCCATCAAACATGTTGCATAACCTTTAAACCACTAGTCATACAAACAAGGAGAGGATGCGGTTGAGTCCTAAGAAACAAGATTGGTCGCATAGTTTTCAGTGTGTCTTAATGAATGACATTTAGAGGTGTGGCTTCTCCAAGTATATATAAATGTCCTTGTGGAATTGTATTGACAACATAGTCCTGCAACTACAAAAGAGACTTACCAATCACAACATCATGAGCTACCACAGCGGCTACTACGGAGGCCTGGGCTATGGCTATGGTGGCTTTGGAGGCCTGGGCTGCGGCTATGGCTGTGGATGTAACAGCATCCGCAGACTGGGCTATGGCTGTGGCTTCGGGGGCTTCGGGTACGGCTCTGGCTATGGAGGCTATGGCTATGGCTCTGGCTATGGAGGCTTCGGATATGGCTGCTTCCGCCCATCATGCTGTGGAGGATATGGATTCTCCAGCTTCTATTGAATAAATATTTGAACCTACAACCCATGGATTAGTCTTCCGTGATTCCTTGATTTTGTAAGAATCCTGTGACCTTCATACTTTGTTTATTCTGCATCTATGATTTTGCTTCCTTTTGGAACAAAAGGTTTCTGTAAATAATGTGGAGAATATTAGATGAAGTCCATATTTTTCAGTGTTGATCTTCAGGAACCCACTTCTATTCTGGTCAGGGTGTCATTATATTCTCACAAACTTTAAAAGTATTTCTGACACAGTTCATTTGTCTTGAATGTCAATTCTTTAGTAAGAGTAGTTCATTTGGGTATATTGATATAATAACTAGCTAGGTGGTATTTTTATAGGTAAAATCTTCAATGAAGGTTGATTTTGTGGCCTCTTCTCCTCTCTGCTTTTATCTTTCCCATTTGTTTCCACCGCTCCTGTCTTCTTTACTCCCTTTTCCATATCAGTTGCCTTTGTCTTCTACATCACCCTTAGCTACAAATGCCTGTACTTTTATTTCCTTCAAAATATAATTACTGTATATAAAAAAATTGAAGATACATTTACTAAAACAATTCAATATAGCTTTAAATTTTAAATGGGCTATAAGTGTTAAGATGGGAGATAGACTTTTTTTTTCATTTATTCTACTCACGTATGCTTAAAATATTTCAAAATAGAGAAAGAAAACAAACATCTCAAACTAAGAAATTTTCCTAAAGCAAGATAGAAACCATTTTATTCTGGTTGAAATATACATGATTATATTAAGTGAAGCTTATTACATGATTGAGATTAAGTAATTTGAATAATTTTAAGTTTTCTATTAGAATTGAGTTTACTGTCAAAAAATGCTCCCAAAATGTAAGTTCAGTTTTTCTCACTGGTCAATTCAACAGCTTGTTATTTTGGAGATAAATAAATGGTGGAATACTTTTTATATGTTTTAGGTTGAAAACGTTTTAATAAAAACATGATACTATCCTCTGGGAAGAAAGTGAAAGGCTATTGTTATTTATTAGTTTAAATACCTTTCCTAGGAACAACTCAACTATTTTTTTCTAGTAATATATCAAAAAGGTAATAGTACTTGCTGCCTAATATTATTTGAGGAATCCTAGGACGTCTCACTATTTGATAATCTGAAGCATAATTTAATAAAAGAGCAAAGTTAATTGCATAAATCAAATTAATATTCCCAAAGCTAATCTTAAACTTTGGAGTTGTGAATTTCAGAATTGGGTTAAAATGAATCAAAGTCTGATAATTACTTTCTCTTTAAAGAATGTGGAGCTCTTTTCCCTTTTGATATGATTTGTAATTTTTTCTAACTGCCAACCACCAGTTGTTTTCAGTTGTTATTTTAACAGATATAACTGTATTGCTTGAAGGTATTAAAAGGAAAATGTGGTATCAGTAATTTAAATCTATATCACTATAACATTTTTAATTCTGTAGGGCAAAATATTCAAATTCTTTTTTTTTTTAGTTTTCTTGAGTTATACCATACATAACCATTACACTATACTGAACTACAGCACCTACCCTTACCTAAAAGCAGATTGGTACCCATCGATGAAAGTTACCCAACATCTCTCCACTCTACTCTCTTCAGAGTATCATAACCAGCATTCTCCTATTCACCTCAATTAGATCATTGCTATATCTCAAGTGTGGGCAAGAACATCTGGCACATAACTGAGAACTGAATCCAATGGCACATGGCAGCTGCCATTCATTTGTTAACTGTTGCTTTTATTTTCCAGGGAAAGGGAGTTTGTAGTTCACTGTCTATGGCTTCTTCTAGCAGATCCAGTATTTCAGGTTTCACTTTGATGTCTTTGATCTATCTAGAACTAACTTTTTGTATAAGTGACAGGTACAGGTGTAATGTCATTGTCCTAATGTGGATATCCAATTCTTCCAGCACCATGTTTTGAAGATACTGCCTTTTCTACAGAGTATGCTTTTCATAACTTTGTCAGATATTAGACAGCTGTTGTGCATACTCATATTTCACTTTTCACTTGTTTCCATTGGGCTATGTATCTATTTGCAGTAATTCTACAATGATTTTTATTACTACGGTTATTTGAGATCTGGAATGACTTTTTTTCCAGCGTTGTTTGGTTTGCTCAGAATTGCTTCCGCTAGCCCTGATCTTTTGTGTTGGCATATGATTGCTTTTTATGACAGTTGATAAGTGGGAGCTCACAGAACAACAATGACTAAATTGCATAACTAAGAAAACAAATCAATTCAGTTAAGAAAATTACCACAAAATGAAAGAGAATCTTTGCAAGGTTTACAACTTGCAACTGATGGAGGATGAGAATCTAGGATATATAAAGAACTCAATAATCAAACAGACTACAATAGCAACAACAACCCCCCCAAATCCATTAAAGAGCCAAAATACAAATAACCCAATAAAAAGAGGGCTATGGATATGAAGAGATAGGTCTCAAACGAAAAATAAAGTCATTAAAAAATATCTAAAGCAATGTTCATCATTCTTAGTAATGGTGAATGCAAATTAAAATCATTCTGAGATTTTTATCCTACCTAGTCAGGATGGTTAGCATCAACTTACAACTGACAAAACCGCTGAAAATATGGAAGAGGTGAGACCTCATTCACTGGTGGTTGGACAGCAAATTTTTGCATATGTTTTGGAATTCACTGTGCATAAATAGCCCATATTATTTAAGAGCGAAAATCACCAATTTCTATATGCCTAAGTCACCAATTGCTCTACCCCACAAATATCTTTTCAACCATTTTCAATGTCACTCTGTTTACAATATTTAGGAACTGTAAGAAACTTTAATTTACTTCACCTGAATAATGGATCGTGAAAATGTGGTACCTTCACAATATGGAATACTCTTCAGCTAGAAAGAATAATGACATTTTCAGGTACATAGGTGGAACTAGAACATACTCTATTGATTCAGATAACTCAGACCTATAAAGTCAAACACTACTTATTTTCTTTCATCTCTAGTTCCTAGATCCAAATCTTCCAATACTGGAAGAACCTTCATTCCAGATCTCAAATAACAGTAGTGATAAAAACAAACAGACAAACAAACAAATATTGCAGCATCAGTACAAATAGATACATAGCCCAATGGAAACAAATAAAAAAGGTAAACATGAGTATGTACAACAGCTGTCTAATATCTGACAAAGATACGAGAAGTGTTTTTTTACCTGGAGTAACTGAAGAAAGCAGGAGGCAAAAAAGGAAAGAGTGCTTTAGGGGGCATATTAGGATATAAATGATATGAAGGGGAATGAGAAAAATGCTTTCCCCATTCATCACTCACATCCACAATTAAAGCTTTTACATCTAGCATTCTCCCCTCTACTTCCATATCACAATGATTTCTAAAGACTTAAGCTTATGCAAACAGTCTAGTGACTCTCTCAGCCTTAGGGGGCCTCTTTTTCCAATATGTCACTATCAAAATCCACACTCAAGATCATCATACTCTTAACGATTGACACTGGAGTGCTCGTCACTAAGCAGTACATCTATAGCAACTTCTCTGAGGTCTAGAGAACACTGTGGAAGGAAAGGGGACATCTGTAAGAGCCAGAGGATGAGAGGCATTCTGTAACATGCTGTCTTCTGGATATGACTCAGACATTGCAATCGTGAGTATACAGCAGCTGTACGATCTGCAGACATGGAATTCCCTAGAGTAAGAGAAGTTGGGAAGAAGAAGGAGAGGGTCATCAGAAGTGGGAGTGAGACAAGAGAATGGAGTAGGTAAAAAACATGACAATAATACATTATACACAAGTCAGAAACAAAAATTAAAAAGATATATTAATAGTCAGCCGCTATATGAAAACATGCTAGTTCAACAGCAGTCGTGATATGAGGAATGCACGCTCACATTTGAGTCCGAGTTAGTACTGTTCAACCCACTAAAATGGCAAACCCCTCAATATTTGTTACTGTACAGAAGGATGCAAATCAGCGAGGACTTCTGCACAGTATCATGTAGAATACTCAATAATAAAAACACTTTAGGAAGCATGCTACAGCTATTAAAGCTGCACATCCATATTTCTTATGACATTGTAATTTTACTCCTGGGAATGCATTCAACATATATGAGTATATATAATCATGAAAACAAATATATAAAGATATTCATAGTAGTTTTAGTTAGAGCCAACCCAAATTGGAATAAAGCCAAATTTCCAGGTTGATATCATGCAGTTGCTATGGAAAGCTTGTGGCATATTTCTCCATATTTGTGATGGGGGCAATGTATCACTGTGTGAAACAATAGGAGAAACCACACTGAAAAGAATAGCCACTGTATGGTCACGTGAATAAAACCTTCAGGGATGATGTATGGTATGTGTCTGGAGTTATTGAAGCTCATTAGGCTATGTTTGTTTGATGACCCTCGGGACCCTGTTCTTTTCTGAGGGGAAATGGGGACAAGCCTGGGGTAGGGGGTGGTAGAGGGAAGACTGGAGGGAGGGGAGGGAGGGGAGGGAGGAGAGGGAGGAGAAAATGCGTTAGGGATATAATACACGAGAGCAGAATAAAAATCATCACCAACAACAAAAATTACAATAGATATATAATATATATAAACTGTACACACTTGAAAGATGGGAAGCTTCACAGGTTGTTGATATAATAAATATTACTATGAAAAAAACTTAATAGTTCTCAGATCTAAATTCCAAGAGGGCTAAGGTTTGGTGTATTTCTAAAAAAAAAAAGACTATTCTTCAGAATTTCTATCTGTACTTTCTTTAATAATGTGGGTTCTTATGACCCATTACTTCCCATTACAATACTCTATATGTGTTTAGAATGAAAATTGGCATTATTACAATACAATGAAATGTTTATTTGCATAATAAAAAGAACTTCAAGGCAGGGCAAAAGAACACGTTTATCATATCAATGCTTTAATTTCATCTCCTCTACTGCACCTGCACTGCCTTTGCCATTTCACCCCTCCCTCCTCTGAGTGATCAGG